GTTTTGCTCACATCACCCACCCAGGCTGGAGTGCAATGATGCGATCTCAGCTCACTGCAACCTCTGACTCCCGGGTTCAAGTCATTCTCCTGCCTCAGCCTCTCAAGTAGCTGGAATACAGGCATGCACCACCACGCCTGGCTAATTTTTGTATTTTTAGTAGAGACGGGGTTTCACCACATTGGCCAGGCTGTTCTTGAATTCCTGACCTCAGGTGATCTGCTCACCTCAGCCTTCCAAAATGCTGGGATTACAGGCATAAGCCACACACCTGGCCTCTTCCACTTCTTATAAGGACACCTGCCATATTGGATTCGGGCCCACCCATAGGACCTCACTTAAGCTTAACTATCTCTTCGAAGGTCCCATCTCCAAATACAATCACATTGTGGGTTAGAACTTCAAGATATGAATCTGGGGAGAGGGGAACATAATTCAGCCCGTAACAGGGAGTTAGCTTTGTTGCATAAAGCCTCGATATGCCCACACGGGAGCTTTTATAATACTTTCATAATGCTCACTACTGATTTCCAAAAAAGATTTCAAAATCTATGACTGGGAATGGCTTTTGCTAGTGCCTGAGACTATCTCCTGTCTTTTCTTCCAGAAGTGAGTGGCAGCAACAGCTCAGCCTTGACTGCCCACCGCCCAGACCCGGGGACCCTGGAACAGTGCCTCAGTAAGCTTCTCCTGCTGACCGCTCTAACCCTAGAACTGGCCCTCAGCCTGGGAGGGAAACAAAGGCCTCCCCACTTTCTGTTGATTGATGCCAAGTGACCAAGGGCCTGCCTGGCCTTCCTGTGCACCAGTGTGGTTTGTCCCAGATCTATTTGCAGAGCAGGTCTAAAAAGCTTTCTTGGCTCCAGTCCCCATCTGGGTGCATGATCTTTTGCACAGATGGCTTTAATGACCCATCCCAGGTCAGCAGCTAACGATGACCCAGGTTCAAATGCTTGAAGAAGTTTGGAGGTGAAAAGGCCTTAAAAAAATCAAGTCCAACTTCTACCCAATGCAAGGGCTTGGTTTTGGTACCCTTGGCATGCATATTTCTTCTTCTTCTGTGCATGTTCTTCCTCTTCATGTACCTCTAGCCACAGGGAGCGCAGTAATTCATAGACCAACCACTATTATGCATGTCTAGCTAATAGAAAGTTTTGCCACTGGGCACAGTGGCTCACGCCTGTAATCCCAGCACTTTGGGAAGCCGAAGCAGGTGGATCACCTAGGATCAAGAGTTTGAGACCAGCCTGACCAATATGGTGAAACCCCATCTCTACTAAAAATACCAAAAAATTAGCTGAGTGTGGTGGCGTGCGCCTGTAGCACCCACTACCAGGGAGGCTGAGACAGAAGAATTGCCTGAACCTGGGAGGTGGAGGTTGCGGTGAGCCGAGATCATGCCACTGCACTCCAGCCTGGGTGACAAAGTGAGACTCC